ATTCAAATGTTATGTTTTTAGGCTTTTAAACCTCAGTGGAGTCCCTTTAATCAACATGTTAAATAGAGGTCACAATGTGAATATATATTGTCATTAAAAAATGAGTGAATTCAGGTAGTTGCCTTAATCATGCCTTTCAACCTTATCTGGACAATTGAAAAATGCATCATAGTTAGCTTAATGAACATCTTTGATATTATGTAGTATCACAAAAAGTGTTGATATGACGTCTGCAAATGTCAAGACATAAAACCTAACAATTTATTCTTGGAAGCATAGAATACTACCTTGGCTATGACACATGCTGGAATATTGTCCAATACATAAGCTGGGTTGTTCATCATGGTTAAGTTAACCAAAAAGGTATGGGTTGTCCAGCAAACTGCATTTTGTTAACTAGAAGGATAAAAAAACACATGTCATTAAAAAGTTAAAAGATTCCACCACACTTCATAGGCTATTACCAATTCTTGACCATTCACCCTAATTTGCTCACGATTTGCACCACTTTAAATTTAGATTATTAACCTAAAAGTTATCAAATTTAAGAAATGATAATATTAATGTTTTCTGGGGGTATATTTTTGAAAAAAATGTTCACTGTATCAAACTTACAGAATATAATTTTAACAGTTCTGTTTATACAATTTGTCAATATTATACTGATAACGTCCCCCAACTATGTATGAGGGATGAAGTGTCTGTGGGATTGTGGTGTCGTGTTCCCTCATGTAGATGACATAAAGTAATACGTATCCCAGCATTGTTTTACAACATAATTCAATAAATTCAGAAACACATATTAAAAACCTCGATATTGTTCAACATTACTAGATCTATATTAGTTTTATTATTAATGCATGTAACAACTTGTCAACTATGATGTATAGAAAGTAATACCTTCGGTTCCGGTTCATGGTCTTTGTTGCATTCATTTTTTACTCTTAAATGACATCTTCATCAATGGTATCCATTATTAGTGACTCAATAAACAACAATTGCTTCCTCGAAGACAAAAATGTACCAATCTTCAGCAGATTTGGATATGATTTTGAACAAGATCAGCTGTCAAATTCGTCAAAAATTTCATACGGGAAACTTGCGGAAGTAAACCAATCTCCATTGAAGAGCGGTGTACTGTATTACATCTCGGTAACCGTTACTAAGGATGTACAACACCAAAAGTAGCCTGTAAATAAAAAATAAGTAACAGACCGTTAAAAAGATATACCTTGTATATGGGGAGGAATACTTTTGCCTCTCATTGTGGGCATTTTTGATATCCTCCTCAATTAAATTAGTCAATCTTAATAATTTCATTCCTAGGAAATCTATATCTAGACAAAAGTTCTTTGTCCGTATATACGTCTAGGGGCCTGTGAACGGGTCCCGAAAGACACGTTCACGCCTTAAAGCACGTCTTTATCATCAAAACAAAACAGCCCAGTGCCGCCATATTTGTTTCCGCACGTGTTTTTATACTTATGACTTAAGACAAAAACTTAGGAGTGCTCAGAAAGCACCCATAGGAATAGTCATAACTTTAGTCTTAAGTTTGCACTTAGGACTTTTCTTGAAACGCATTTTTATGCCAGTTTTACACTTACGACTAAAATCGGTCCTAAGTTTCTTTATGAAACGCACCCCAGAATTTCTGATATACTATATTTTTTCAAAAATTGTTTTATCTACTGCTTTTATCTATCAGATAAGTTTTCTCTCATTTATTTAACAATGTTTATGAATAAATAAATAAATAATTTGAATATTTAGAAATAATTTTAAAAATTATGAGATTATTTTCTACCGAGACGATATTTTGATAGATTCTATTTTATATTTTTTAGCTTTTGAATTTATTTTTCGTTATTTTGTATACTTTCGATAATTTTTTTAATAAACTATATGGAACGTAGGCACTAAAAGTAAAAAATAAAACAGAAAGAGAAAAATAACGTTAGATTTTCTTTGTAACGGTCGATATTTACATTTGAATTTCAACGTTACGTCATGTGACTTTCATCATCATGTGACGTCTTTGAAGGCAGTGATTACAATTCTGCCAAGGGAGTTAATCACTGTGAGGAGTTTGATTCGCTCCATTAACTACATCTACGTAGCACGTTGGAATAATTGTAAACTGTATTCAAATAACTATCTTTTTTCAAAACTTGTCTCCTTTTGTATGAAACAGCCAAAGCTCACCATAACCTTGGGCTTAAAATTTAAGTCCCAGCCATAACTAAAAAATGATCAGGTGAGCTAAAAACAAAAAACAACATCTTCGTTTTGAAAACAGAGTATTTTATTTGATTATCACAGGCAAATTATTTCAATAAATTATTAAATTTACATTAATCAACAACTTAATTGACATACAAATAATTTATAATTTATAAATGATTTATACACATATCAAAATCATAATGGATTATATGTACATGTAATTGTCTGAGTTCCAAAATACTAACCATCTCCCTACATTCTATAAATAACATCAGCACTACATGTACATGTATATTTACTAATTCAAAGGCAGGACATGAATGGCTGCATGCACCTTTTGTGATACTAAGCAATACCTATAAATAAAACAATAGCACCACATGCTGTGTTAATATACTCGTCTGATAAAAATTCTAAGTAAAAAGGGGGCATAACTCTAAACAAACACCTTTAAGAGTTATGCCCTTAATCTATCAACTGCGCCTTGTCATGATAAGCAAGTTTTTAAAGTTTCATGTCGATACCTCTTGAAATGTTTGAATAATGGGCTAAGGTTTTTGCAACGACAAGGGCTAAGGTTTTTGCAACGACAATGGCAATGCTGCAAAGATCATAATAACATGTCTATTTCTTTACAACAGACAAGCTTATGATCCTTGTAAAGGAATCTTTCGTAGCCAATTTAAAACCATGCTCTCTCCAAAATTGTAAAAAAAACAACAGATAAGCTTATAAGAACACATGTTTTACAATGACAGTGGACTTACAAATTAAATTACACAACATTGTTGATTAGTGAAATGCTTTAAATAGCACAACAATTATTGATTAATTATGGGAATGATTTTAAGAACACAACAAGTATGGACTATATGGCAGTGTTGCCAAGTGATGAACAAGCAGGACTAGGAATCTTTGGATTTTTGGCACTATGGCTTCAAACCCCATTAGGGCCAAGCTTTTGTTTCATTTGGGCTTGAAACTTTCAATCATTGCTTAGAACTAACTTATTAGTTTCAGGAATTGATTTGAAAAAGTGTTTATAAGGTAAGGCTTTCTACACATTAGGACTAAAATAGATCCAGTATAAACTAATTATGAACTAAATATGGAAATGGTTTAAGTATTACAACAATTATGTACTAATTAAAGGCATAGCTTAAACAGCAAGACTGTATTAAGCAATATCTAGTGATTTTAAATTGCCAAAATTGTAAATATCTGGAGCAGTCTGATTAAGAATTTTCAACAGCATATTCAGCGTGTCAAGTATTAAAACAAGTGGCTAAAATTGACTGTTTGACAAAGAGTATGTTTCTGGAAACAGTAATTTGTGATTACAGTAAACAACAATCCCCTGGAAGGTATAACCGAAATATAAATCAACTAAAATAAGCAAACAAACATTAACTTGTCATGGAAAGAGAGGATATTATATGAGTGTAGATTCAATACTGAATTTTTTCAACGAGTTGTATTAAATCATATAATGCGAGCCTCTGGCGACCATCATATTGTTTTATTCAAGAAGTTCAATAAATTAAGTAACGTATCTAAACAAATATAATATTCTATTTATCACACAACCAACATAAGAACTATTTACAATGAAAATAATCCTTCTTTGTAATTGACAGGCCTATATTGTAATGTTAACATTTAGCATGTCTTAAAGCTATGTTTGTATAATGCAAATGATGTCACATCAAAAAAATATGTACGGCCTTGCAACACCATTTTTACGAAGAACTAGTCACAAAAGCAGAAACATTATGTGCTAAGCTATACATGTAATACTTTTTTATTACAAAATAACAATGATAACTTAGTTAACATTCAGAAAATGATGATATAGTAATAACAAGGACTATCATAACATAAAAATTGAAATAAAAACAATAATTATGATGATGATATTGTGTTATAGAACACTTTCACTTCAAATGAACACTAAAGAGAACACATTATGTATTTGGTTTTAACATATTTATGTAAGCTCAATTGCCAAACAGGTTCTTGCAACTTATATAAATCACTCTCTAGTCAACTTCCTAGAAATAACCAGTACTGGTGTCATATAAAGAAAAAAAATCTGTGAGCCTATTAGGACTCAAACCCATGATCCAAGGGTCAAAAGACACTAGGCCACCCCTCCCCCTACAGAATGTAACTGGCACCTTTATAAATATTTTTATTAGTGTAAATTTTATTCACACACAAAAAAACACCCAGAAATGTCAAATATCAACAGTCCGATTAATGACCATTTGTTACCCTGGTTCTTGTAAGTTACACTATTTCAAATGTTGTTACGCTTGTCTTGCTATTTACAAGCAAGGTTGTTTTACAACTAATCACTTATAACCCTTTCTTGGGAGCTTTATAAATTAAATATATTTCAAACCTTTGAAACTTTAAGTTAGAGCCTTGTTTTTATATACAATACATTTTGAATATGACATAAACAAGAAATGGTGGTTAAATAAGTAAACAGTATTTGTTGTTTATTAAAGGGGCTCCATTGAGGTTTTTTGACATGATGGGACTGAAAATATTTTTTCCAGATAAATGTTCCATTTGATGTAGGTTTAGACCCCACTAATCTTTGTGCAAAATTTCAGATCAATCGAGCACTTCGTTTTTCCAGAATAATTATTCCAATTGTAAAAAAAAATGAACCAAATTGAAAAGCGTTTAAACGCTTTTCCCACTCAAATCGGGCTAAAAAGGGCATAAAAATACGATTTTTTTCAATTTATTTCAAAGTAATATTTCTCAACTATCTTTGCATATATTTCTGTTTAAAGTACCCCACCTCATTTATGTAAGAAATTCAAATTTTATGTTTTTAGGCTTTTAAACCTCAGTGGAGTCCCTTTAATGTCAACACAACATATGGTGGTTAAATAAGTTACCATACATATGTTGGTTAGTAATGTCAACACAACACATAGTGGTAAAATATGTAAACACAGCATAAAAATTATGCTGTTTATTAATGTCAACACAACACATAGTGGTTGAATATGTAAACAGTATTTGTTGGTTTATAATGTCAACACAAAATGTGGTTGTAAAATTTTGTTAACACAGCATAAAAATTATGCTGTTTAATAATGTCAACACAACACATGATGGTTTACCCCAATCTTTTACGTGTTTAAATAATCTTTCCACAAGCAACATACTACAATAAAACTACCTATCTTACAGGTATAATGCCTGGCTAGCCCTACACACCTGTGCTGTAAAAACTAGACACTGTACGGTTTGCTATTCCGTTTTATTAGTTTAAAGTTGTAAACACTGAACCATTAAACTCTGGAATTTGTTGCAATGCATTTGCCTTGTTTTGAATTTGAACAATGCATTTTAAGTCTAAAGCAGCACGCCTCCAGATTCATGCTAATTTTCATGAAAATTTTGAAAATGCATATGAATGTATAATATTGCGAAATAACCAAAAGGAAGCAATTTACACATTATCAATGGCACTTACAGTTACATCCCTTGTAAATTACCCAAAAGTGGTCAAAATATGCATAAATAGCCCTTACTGTGTTAGTAACGCAGTAGAAATATAGTTGTAAATACTGAAAATCAGTCATTAATCGCACATAACATGTAAAATATTACTTGAATCTTGAATCATTTTACTTTTCCTAAAATCTTTGTACATATTTCTCAAGTTTGACTTTATTGAAATATTTTTACTCATCTAGAGGCATGCAGCTTAAAGGGGTTCCAGTTATGAATATCAAAATACAAAAATCAGCTATCAACAGTATATTGGGTACACAGCACTGTGGGGGGGGGGGGTGTAAAAGTTGCATCACATTTAGTTACAGCAAGTTAAGTGTTATTTTACAAATAGTTTTTTTTTTCGGTTTGAAAGCAGTATACTACACCAGGGAAGATGAAAAATCTGTTGTCCAAAATTGAGAATACACAAATACTTCAACACAGCAAAGGTAAAATCCTTTATGGACTGGAACTAAAGGCAAAATAAGTCTTTGTCACCAGTATAGAGAATTCACATTCATGTAGTGCTGGTAGCTTGAGTTTTCAAATTGGTGTTTGTGTTTTTTTTATATTAAAGGAACTCAACTTAGATCCAAAAACATAATATCATAAAATTTGAATTTCTTACTTAGATCAGAAAACTGAAAGATATGTAAAAGATAATTAGAAAATATACTTGGAAAAAATAGAAAATATACTTGGAAAAATTAGAAAATATACTTGGAAATAAATTGAAAATCAAATTTTTTTGCTATTCTTTAATGCTTTTCAATTTTGGGTAATTTTTCACAATTAGAATATTTATTAAGGAAAAACGGAGTGAGCGAATGATTTGAAATTTTGCACACAAGTTATTGGTTTAGATTTATATCGAATGGAACATTAATCTGAAAAAAACTATTTCCAGTCCCGTCATGTAAAAAAAGCTCAGTGGAGTCCCTTTAAAAGTCTTTTAACTTTGAACTCTAAATTAAACTTCAGCAGGAATAGGGTTAGACTATAAGAATGATAAAACACCTCTACATGATATTTCAATGTGAAAATTTGTATGGCTTCAATATACTAACAAAATGAGACGTTAAATATGATATAAATAAATACCATATGAAGGTAGAAAAACAAAATTACTGATTAACAAATAAATTAGTGGTATGGTTGATTTGCAAAAAGTGACATGAACAATTACTTTTCCAAGTTTGCAGAAAGTGACATAAGCAATTACTTTTCCAAGTGGTTGATTTGCAAAAAGTGACATGAACAATTACTTTTCCAAGTGGTTGATTTGCAAAAAGTGACATGAACAATTACTTTTCCAAGTGGTTGATTTGCAAAAAGTGACATGAACAATTACTTTTCCAAGTGGTTGATTTGCAAAAAGTGACATGAACAATTACTTTTCCAAGTGGTTGATTTGTAAAAAGTGACATAATGAACACAACATTTTGTCATTGATATAATAAACCAGACAGGAACATTACACAGATCAACAACAATGAAAAATTTAGAATAAAGATTGGCTATGCCTTATATAAAAAAGATACAAAAATATTTAAGTACAAGAATTAAATAAATAACAACACTTATATATTTCTAAAGATAGAGGACTGTCAGGAAAGTAATGGTTGTGTTGAAACATCACTATCAGAAGAGGTTATTAAACCGGCTCTATTCACAGGCAGTTCACTAATTGGTGTAAGTTTACTGTATGACAAAAACAGCAACACCTGCAAATAAACAAAATAAAAACAAAATGTACAAACAAACAAACAGACAAAATGTACAAACAAATCAACAAAATATGCCATGGTTTATCAATATTTGTGGTAATTATTTACTGGGCAGGAACCAGTTTCCGGACAGAATTCGTGTTTTTTTAATTGTCTATTTTTTAATAATAAACATGCATTAATAAAACTAACATACCAAAAACCTGAGTTCTAACTACGTCCGATAACACAATTAATACTGCCTGGTGACGTAAGCAATGTACAAACTGAAGGGTTAAATTAGGTCATCAAAAGTGTAAATTGTTCACTCTTGCAGAACCAGTTTCCGGACATATATTAAGCTGCTATTCATATCTGTTTTTAACTGATAATTATTCTAATATAACAAAAAATTTCTTCTCACATATTAGCTTTCTTATATGATTAAGCTGATTTACTGAAAAATGTTTATGAAAAATAACGACCACGTGATGGGTCTCGGAATGACTGAAAAGTGAAACGGATATTTTTGTGTGTACGGCAGCAACAAAGTGTGAAAGTGGAGTAAACCTAGCTAAACACCGTTTTCCGATACGTTACAGATTTAGCTCTGGGGAATTACACCCGATGAACTTCGAATGAAGTACATTGTGCATTAATTGCTACCCCAAATTATATCCCAAAATAAACAAAATATTGCGCATGCGCAGAACAAATTACATGCCCCAAAGGGATATAAGGCTGTTTTTAAAACACAGGTAAGATATCCTCACGAAATTTTAATGATGTATCAACTTGGAAGGAAGTTTATTTTCTCAAACAATCAAACCAAGCATCTTCATGACATATACCGATCGTCATCGATAAAGCCAAAATTAAGCCGTTATAATACTTGTCCGGAAACTGGTATTGTCCGGAAACTGGTTCCTGCCCAGTACAGAAAATTTATTTGATCGGTTTTCATGCCGATTTCCTACCTCGGTGGACTGTCAACCATTCCGACATCCTGAATAACTTAGCAGTAATTAACAATTTCTCTGCAAGTTATTTAAAGTTTTGAATTAAGTTTCTAAAATCACTTGGAATTTAAATGAGCTACTGGTGGATGAAGACCTCAAGTGCCATTCCAAGCATTATTTCAGGCTCGACGGGCACCTTAGTAGAGTCATGGACATTCCTGTAAGCTAGCTGGATAGCTTCCTCACATGAAAGAATCCAAAGTCCCTGTTGGTTATCAAACTCACAGCAGTGAAGAGCAAAGTGGTTTGAAGTCAACAACCTTAACCATTCAGCCATGCATGCCCCCTAGTACTTACCATTGAAATTCCTAATAGACCAAGCATGGCACCAAACATAAGATATGGCATGGTTATAGTGGATCCTGCCCACAGGGGACCCAAAATGGTGGCTAAACCAACAACACTTCTCCTCAAACCCATACTCAATCCTGAAACATATTAATTATGCATGTATACATGAATGTTCCTTTTACAGACAAGGTGTATTGTAAAATTCTCTACACTATAAAAACCTGCCTTTCAAGCTAGTAAAAATCTTTTTCATTGGATTTTCTGTCACATTAACACAGAAAAGGTTATATCATGAGTTTCAAGTTTTACTGATGGAGGATGGTCTCAGTTGTTGTGTCTAACAATTATTCCAGGTATAAGAGGGCCCAGGAACATCTCAGTTGACATCACTTGTCTTTGGTGAATACTTCATTCCATCAGCCTCAGTCTGACCTGATACTTATATACTACACCACATGAAGCACCATTTCACCAAGTAAAGATATAATAAATATTATCCTGAAATATGTCTCCTCACAAAAGGAAATACTGAGTACATTGTATATTCATTTGCGTGTTTAAGCCTGGGACTAAAATTCACCATACAACCAAAAAGGCTTGATTTTACTTTGACAATTAAAAAGTTTGATTAAGTCACATACTACAGATTAATTTGGATTGATCAATTGTCATAAATTTGAAACCAAAGGTTCAAATTTATATATAAGATTTTTGCAGATTGACCTTACTGAAGCCTTGGAATAGGTCATTTTACATTGTCATCATAACTATGTTGGCTCAACTAACATTAATGGACAATGCACCTGACTTGTACATACCCTGGGTCTCCTTCTTTGTTATTTTTGAGTACAGGGATATACTTGCTGACACAAGAAATGGTAAAGCAAACAAGTCTAATGCTGAGCCAATAATGAACTTCCATATATTTTCATCATACGTACCTATAAAGAAAAGAAATATTTCTATAAATTTTCATTAAAGCATGAGTAATTAGAATGATGTACGCTTCTATTCATACTAAATCATAGTTACATTTCTATTCATTTTTAATCATTAAATTTAATTACAATTATTTTCAATTCTAACACTCCTAATGATTTTGTCACTATAAAACAAAGAAGAAACAAGAAATGACAAACAACACATATGCCCCTCATTCTAGCCCTTGAGTCCCATTATTGGTAATTTTGTTATAGAAACTTGCCATAAATGGGTACATGGAAGTGTTTTCAAGATAATCAGCTAAAACCATTCTGACATTTAAGGTCCCTGTGACCTTGACCTTTGACCTAGTGACCCCAAAATCAATAGGGGTTATGTACTAGTTAAGACCAATCAATGTGTGAAATATGAAGACTTTGTGATGAATAGTTTTCAAGATATTCAGGGGAAACCATTTTGTCATTTAAGACCCCTGTGACATTGACCTTTGACCTAGTGACCCAAAAACCAACAGGGGTAAACTACCAGTGATGACAAATCACTGTGTGAAATATGAAGATTTTGTATTGAATAATTTTCAAGATAATCAGCAAAAAACATTCTGACATTTAGGCCCCTGTGACCTAGACCTTTGACCTAGTGACCCTAAACAGGGTTGCCAGCACTTTGGTGAAATAAAATTCCCTGACTTTTCCCTGACTTTTCACTGACCGATTCATGTTTTTCACTGACCAAAATCGTCAAACACATAAACGGCCTCCTGACCTCCCCTATAGCCCTCCAATCCTCCCATTATATTTTAGCATGTAATCTTGTATTTATTTTCCAAAATATAAAACATTTACATCAAAGTAATGATTCAAACATTGTGTTCTACTATTCTTAACTATTTCTATTCAAAAACAGTGTGACTGTTGGTCAGTGAAACATATGACATGAAAATCAGAAGAATCATAATATAAGCATCTGTATTAGAAATCACATAAGTCACTCTTTCCTTCCTAGTAGTAAAACATAAAACACCAAGACTATAAGAGTAACTAGAAATGTGTCCTTAGGACACTGATGCCCCCACACGCCACTGTTCTGTCAATCTTATGACTCTAGGTCAAATATTTTTTGGACTACATGTGCCACAAGTTGAAAACTAAAAATCAACAAAGGGCCATAATTTTGTTAAATTTGGTCGCAGCAAAAAATCCTTCCTTCACTACGATCTACACATTAAGGTTGTTCATCCCTGGAAGTTTAAGCAAAATCTGCCATCCGGTTTAAGAGGAGTTGCGTTCACAAAATTTCTATATAGTATATAATGAAAAAATCAACAAAGGGCCATAATTCTGTTAAATTTGGTTGCAGCAAATATTCCTTCATTTACTACCATCTACATATTAAGAATGTTCATCCCTGGAAGTTTAAGCAAAATCTGCCATCTGGTTTGAGAGGAGTTGCATTCACAAAATTTCTACATAGTATATAGTGAAAAAATCAACAAAGGGCCATAATTCTGTAAAATTTGATCGCAGCGAAAATTCCTTCCTTTACTACCATCTACACCTTAAGGTTGTTCATCCCTGTAAGTTTAAGCAAAATCTGCCATCCTGTTTAAGAGGAGTTGCCTTCACAAAATTTCTACATAGTATCTAGTGAAAAAATCAACAAAGGGCCATAATTCTGTTAAATTTGGTCGCAGCAAAAATTCCTTCCTTTACTACCATCTACACATTAAGGTTGTTAATCCCTGTAAGTTTAAGCAAAATCTGCCATCCGGTTAAAGAGGAGTTGCGTTCACAAGATTTTGGGACGGACGGAATGACGGACGGACAAGTGCAACGCTATATGCTCCCACATTGTGGGGGCATAATAATACTTGTATGACAAAACTTAAAATTCAAACATCTATTAACTGTAAGAACAATAAACATTTAACACAGTTACTTGTATAAGGCATCATGATAAACTCCACTGATTGTGAAAACAAGAACATAGGGCTCATTTTGGCATATCATGAAATAATCACTATAAAATTAAAGACTTTGAATGAGTGAAGTAAGTTAGTGTGAAAAAAAGTTAGTGTGAAAAACATAGCATTGCATAATTTAACCAGTTTCCATCATGTTTGCAAGACAAATCCTCTTGTACAATTTCTTAGTGTCAAAGCAAAAAGCAAAAGAGGTTATATGCCAATATGGTAGTTTGGTATACATGTATACTGACTAGATTTTGTGAGTAATTAAAAGCCCTTCTAGTGATATCATGCACAGAAATAGCTAGACCAATACAGAAGACAGTGTACTGACTAGATATTGCTAGTAAGTCTTTAGGCTGAATGATGTTCTAAGGTAAATAATGGGTATTATAATCACTAAGTTAACATATAATGCTTCTTAATATCACAGTTTACTGTTATTTGAATTTAATGCTTAACTGTGAGAGTTACAAAGTCAAATATAAAATGCATAAAGACTACCATAGCCGAGAAAGACCTTCAATGCGTATACTTTCAACCTTTGAAATAATTTTTCCCTGACTTTTCACTGACTTTTGAGGATTTTCATTTTTCACTGACCAAATTTCAGAATTCCCTGACAATTTCCTGACCTTGAAAAAATACCGAATTTTCCTGACTTTTCAAGTCCGCTGGCAACCCTGCTAAAGTCTATAGGGGTCATCTACTTGTTATTAACAATAAGTATGTGTAATATGAAGACCTCTGTGATAAACAAGAGCCCTGTTTGAGCCGGGTAAGTTCTCCTAATAGGTTTTGGACACAGGAAAGTACACCTCTTGTAGTTTCAGAGTTATGTCCCTGGAAAAAGTTCAAAGTGCAATAATTCCAAAATTAGGCAAGGCAGAGTTACTGTTCTTTGCTCTGCACTTCTAATCAATGTGATCCATCAACCTACAAAGTTTCTTGATGATATCCCTTATGATTTCCAAGTTATGTCCTGGAGAACTTCAAAATGTAAAAATAAACAAAGGGCAATAACTCCAGAATTAGACAAGGCAGAGTTATGAGTCTTGTGCACTGCACATGTACCCATTGAGATATATTTACCAACAAAGTTTCATGTTGATATCTCTTATAGTTTTACAGCTATGTCCTTGACAAGATTTTTCTAAAAGGGGAGATAATTCAAAAATTAGGCTTAACAGAGTTATGGTTCTTTTGCACTGCACCTCTACTCAATGAGATCTATCTACCTACAATGTTTCATCTTGATATCTCTTATAGTTTTAGAGTTATGTTCCGGACAAAGTTTAAAGTGTTAAAATTAACAAAGGGCAATAACTCCAAAATTAGGACAAAAAGAGTTATTGTTCTTATGCACTGCACATCTGCCCATTGAGATCTATTCACCTACAAAGTTTCATGTTGATATCTCTTATAGTTTTAGAGCTATGCCCCGGACAAGATTTTTCTATAAGGGGAGATAATTCAAAAACCGGGCAAAATAGAGTTATGGTTCTTTGACACTGCACTCCCCCTCAATGCCCTCTACCACTGTATGAAGTTTCAACAAATTATCTCCAAGGGTTTTCAAGTTATGCCCCGGACAAGACAACGGACAGACAGACGGACTGACGGACGGACAAGGCACCGACTATATGCTCCCCCGAAATTTTTTGGGGAGCATAATAAATTTTAAGATGATCAGAAACCATGTGGTCTACCGATGGACAGACCGACCTACTGACAGACCTACCGACCGAACAATATACCCCCTATCCATCAAAGGGGGCATAAAAATACTTCACAGATAGTACACACAACAAAAAAGTTTGCAATATTTAAGAGAATGGCAATTTAAAAATAAGATAAAAAAAAGAAAAAAAGGAGGGCCATCATGGCCCTGAGTCGCTTACCAGAAACAACTGATTTTCAGTGTTGGAAATTGTCCATTGTCAATATTTTCTAATATGAGATTTGAACATAGAATAAGTTACAATAATACAATAATTTGAAGAAATGCCATGACCTGGGGTATTTAAGCTTTAGCTTAAATGGGGACAATCCAATTAATATGAGCAAACTTGATAAAAGACTACCAAAGACTGCCACAAAGTTTGGCGATCTTCTATCAATTATTACAGTAGGAAATGACTAACAAAGTTTTTCTATTTTTAGCATTAGTGACCCCTTAAAGGGGCTTATCAATTTAATATGAGCAAACTTGATAAAAGACTACCCAAAAATGCAATAGACAAGGTTTGGAGATCATCCATCAATAAGTTCTGTGGAGGATGTTTAAAGGTTTTTCTATTTTTAGCTCTAGAGACCCCTAAAAGGGGTCAATCAAATTAATATGAGCAAATTTGATAAAAGACTACCTAAGAATGGTACAGACAAAGTTTGGTGATCATCCATCAATTAGTTCTGTAGAAATGACATTCAAAGGTTTTTCTATTTTTAGCTTTAGCAGCCCCTTAAAGGGGCCAATCAAATTAATATGAGCAAACTTGATAAAACACCACCCAAGAATGCTACAGACAAAGTTTGGTGATCATCCATCAATAAGTTCTCTGCTATTTATAAACTGATTGTCACTATGTCATTTGTAGGTCAATGTTCATATGCAAATAGTCAAAGTTTGGGAAACAAACATTATTTCACCCTAAATGAAACTAACCAATTGAACATATATCAAGTTCTTTTTTTATAACATGGGGCTTTAAACATTTATTGTTAATACATAAAGAGGTTAATAGCAGATACACTTCAAAGGTTCAATCAGGTGTCATTTTTCATTATGTGGTTAAGTATTGATTACTTTTGTAAAGACAATGAAGTTAAAATACTGAAATTAAGTTCATTTTCTGTTTGTAGCAACTGTCAGTAGAGATATGGCAGAGAAACAGGTAACAACACCTGGGATGACAGGGTCTGAGCAGTCAATTAACTGTTCACCATGCTCTGAAGCAGAGAGGACAACTGTTGCCATCAAATATTGTGTGGACTGTACAATATATGTTTGTCAAGACTGTTTAAATGACCACA